TGTGATATATTGTTTCATTTCAGTTATCATTTTAACTTTACTAACTTATTTAATCAACAAATTTTACTTTACAAAATTCCAAAATAATTCCATTTCCTAGCATTAAACATGGTGCTCTAAACTTGCTACTACTGAAATCAGCAAGTATATCTCCATTTTAAATGGTGTAGAATAATAATAATGATAATAATAATAATAATATAATAATTAAAAAATAAATTAATGGACTAAATAAATAGACAAACAAACAAACAAACAAACAAATGGACAAATATATAAATAAATAAACAAATAAATAAATGAACAAATAAAACAAACAAATAAATAAATGAACAAATAAAATAAACAAATAAATAAATGCTAAACAATGATAAAGCGATAATAACAATGAATAATAACAGAAATAATAATAATTACTGTTATTACTATAATGATAATAATTATTATTGTGCCAATAGTAGCATTAACAATGATTATTATGATTAGTATTATTAGCATTGTTAGCATTAATATCGCCACGACAAGCGCTTCTGCAAACTTTTAATTCCAGCGATATTAAGGAAACTTAAAACCATTGCAATGCAATGTCGAAAAATATTAAGTTAATTAAAAAAAGAAGTTTCCTAAAATTCAATTTTTTACGGTGTTGATAAATGACAGAGTGACGAGAGAGTCTCTACCAGTCAATCAGTGATATCTTCCTTCAATTTTCTCAACAAAACAACACAACAATGGAAAATATTTCAAAAAATAGATCCCAGTTTAAATTCACGAATTTTCGTTTCATTCATTTTTGATTATTTCTTCCGACGGGAAAACGTCATTTCCTGTAATCATGCAAAATGATGTCAGAATCGAACGACCCTATGATATGGAATGATAACAGTTTGTCACTCGTCAAATGATTTAATAAAAAGGTATTCATTTGTGTATGCAGAAGCGCAGAAGATATAAAATGAATCCTTAGATGATTAAATTTTGTCGCTGAAAAGATGAATTAATCTAAATTGAAAGAAGAAATCTTTCTCCTAATTTTAAAGCTCAGTGAGGAAAATTCTTCGGCCAAACCTGTATTAATTAATTGCAATGGAAAGCACCTGAATTGCAGTTACATCGAATTATCAACTTCGTAAACTTGGGAACCTTAACTAACTTAACTGTCCATACTCTAAAATGCAAGTCTTGTAGATTGCCATTCCTAAGTGGTATTAATGATGCCTTAGTTTTATTAATTATTGATATTAAAGTTTAATGAATCCATATCAAACAATAATATTTACGTTTACTCTCAAAGTTAAGATTCAACAGTTCTTTGTCGACTTTTTATTGATGAGGTAATTCCAATTTCTCTCGTTAAGATTGCAAACATTTGAACTTTCTTATAATTTTCGAGATTTCATAGACACTGAGATTTGATTTTAAATTGTTACGGAACGAACTGCAGTAGTATTGATAACAACGGTAATGGTGATGAATGTGTGTAAGATGGGATTGATCGGGGAACATTGTTTGTTCGTTTTATAATAAACCTGTTCTTTTCATCTTTTTCATATATTCGTTTTCGTCCCGAGATTTACTCTTTAAGCGGTATGTCTTAACACACGAAAGAGAGAAGGAGAAGAGAAAGAGAGAGAGAGAGAGAAGAGAAAAAACGATATTTTTCATGCACGTAGAAATGCATCAAAAATTGATGAAAAAAAAAATTTGAAAACTAGCAATGTATAAAAACTACCAATGAACTTTAAACTTTATTATTATTGCGAAGATTTTATGTCTAATAGAAATTTGCAGGATTATTTTAAATTTCGAAACTTAATTTGCTTGATTACTTACTGAAACTTCTTCTACCGATCACGGATACGGCAAGAAAGGAAGTTTCCCATTGTTCGTGAATATATCACACAGATGAAGGTGACATGCAAGACTTGGTCCTCAAACTATAAAATTCTCTATTCGAGGATAGCCAAAGGAAAACTTTATAATTCCTAGAAAAGAATTGTGTAACAGGTCGATTGTTGCCCTTTTCTCGATCCTATTTTATTTAATTACATTAATTAGGGAACTGATTACAAATAAATACGAACTGTTAGGGTGTAACTGATAAGAACCATAAAAGACATAAGAAAGTTATTATTGTAAAATCTGAAATACCACAAAATTTGAAATGATTTTGTGATTTTAATAATATCCGATTGACCTCAAATTAACTAGAAATCAAATATTTATGATGAAGGCCGAGGGAGATAGATGTAGATTTTGAAAAATGAATTACATCCTGACAATTTCGGTTGAGATAATTTTTTCAGTTCCATCGAGAACAGCTTTCAGCGGGAAAAAAAGGACCGAATTGATAAAGAAAAGAATATTAAAAGGTGTTGCACAAAAAC